TAATTATACAGTAACTTTGTGCTTGTAATTATTTACATTGATCACTAATTATATTCAATTTGAATAAGCATAATCTTTTTTATAAATCTAATTAAACACTAAAATACGAATCTAATATAATAAAAATAGGAGTATATAACAAACTACTAACAATATCATATAGGATGAAAGAAACTTTAAAGAAAAACTTAAGTTAGAATATCTTTATTTTATGCAAATAGTTATTTTTTCTATGTTACTTGACATAAATTATATATTTATTCTTTTTGTATTTTCGTAGGTAGTGTTCTTACTTATAATTGTTAGCACTTACATTTCTTTGCATTTACTGAATTAAGATGTATTAATTAAAAAATAAAAGAAAGCAAAATTTATATATTATATAAGTACTCCCTCCGTTTCAATTTATGTGAATTCATTTGACTAGATACGGAGTTTAAGAAAAAAAAGAAAACTTTTGAACTTGTGGTGTAAAATGAGGTACATATATTTTGTGTGGTTATAAATTATTATATAAAGATAAAAAAATTTTGGCACGGATTAAAAAAGAAATAGGTTCACATAAATTGAAATATAGAGTATATAACAACAAGTAAAAGAATGACAAACAGCAATTGCAATTGGCCCAAAGCAAAATCACCAAAACCTAAACTACATTCTGATCTCTTCGGCCGCCAATCCCACCCCCACTTTCCCAATTCTTTCTTCAACCATGGTTAGACTAAAAAATGCGAGAACGACAGAGAAGAAGAGTGAGAGAGAACCCCATAACTTCGCTATTCTTGAGCAGAAGAGGTAAGCTCATATCTCTATATTTTACGGTTTGTGAGTTTTTTCGTACCTACTTGACATGAATTTTTGGTTTTAATTTTGCGAATTATTCAGCAATTTAATATTGTGCGCTATTTTTGATATATAGTGAGTGAAAATTTGAAGATTTTGAAGTGGTAATTTTGGGAGGAGCCATAGTTCATGGACTGTAACAGCAAAGTAACATTAGAAAATTGTGATGAAGATCCTTTAAGAAGTTTAAAAAGTCTACAGGTTTTTTTAATTCTTTTGTTGCTTTTTACTTTTCTATTTTGTTATATGTTAAAAATTCTTGTAAAAGAATTATCAAGAAATATTTCTTGTCTTATTGATATTCTATTAATATTTTTACTAATCGAACTTGCATCTTTGTATTGAAGTTGAAACTCAATTGTACCTGTTAAATATTCAGTGAATTCATACAATTGTCAAATGTTGCCTTCTCCGACTAAAATACATCTTTTAGCCAAAAATAATTAATCCATTTCAGTTAAAATTTTAGTCTAGTGCCAGATAGCATGATCCGCCTCCAATTACAAAGTGATTTGTAACTTAGAAAGCACTAATGCGACTCGGTTAAGGTTAATTAAATTGCAGTACCGCCTTCTTAGTCTTTGCAAGCAATATGTCTTTTGCTTCATTAATTTTTGAAGCAATGTAGTGGCTACCTCTTGCATATGTGATCAGTTATTTTTTGCTTTGATGTGTTAAAATACTTTATCGTTGACAGGCAGATTTGTCAAGTTAGAGCAGCAATGACAAGTTAAGACTAAAGCTAAGGTGCAGTTAAGTCGGTGCTACTTAGGGAAGAGAGAAAGGAGAAGACGATGCTACTTTGTGTCTCAAGCAAGATGGTGTTGTAGAAGACTTGCGTATCGTGTTCTTAGCTACATTGTAACAATTCTTATATGTATCTATTTTGGAATCTAAAATATTTGAAATTTTAGCTGCAGGATAAAATTCTTGTGACCAATTATTTTGAAGCAAATTCTTCAATTATAGCAATAGAAATTTAGAATTCGGGGCTACACATATATATAATTGATGGTTAATTTTTTCACTTTCCGTAGCAAATGATTAAACGATAGCTTTAATTCTATATATTTTATGGCAAAAAGAATGAATTCTTAGTTACATACCAAAAAGTTTGTGGCAAATACTTCAATTATAGCTATAAATTTTTGAACTCGTAGCTAAATAAAAGAACAGTTGCCACGAGACTGAGGTATAAAAATAGCCACAACATATAAATTTTCGTAGCAAACAAATTAATTATTTTGCCACGATAAAATACCTTGTGGCTACAACATAGAGACTGCTACAGAGTTTATTTGTCGTGGCAAAAAAATAAGAGTTTTTGCTATAGGTATATATTTTGTGGCAAAAAAGTTCTGTTAATATTGCTACAATACCAAAAATATTCGTAGCAATAAATATTAGTCCTTAGCCACGAACCATGTAAAGTCTGTAGCTAACTTTTAGTTACGCTACTTCTTGCTACGAATGCTACGAAAAAAAATATTGTGGCTAAAGTGTTTAGCCACAGAATTTTCATATTCAGCTACAATATATTTTGTAGCTGTAAATGCATAATATTGTAGTGGTGGCCCGTCATATAAAATTATTGCTTTGACCTTGAAAACTATTTTTTGGGTTAAACATTTTGGTTCCGTTACCGGGAACTCAAGCAAATTTGCTATCCATCCAAAGATACTACCAATTTTTGTTAATATTCACTTGTTTTCAGTTTAAACCTTCTTCATGGCCGAAATTTGTCAATCAACACAGTTGAGGACAACCAAGTTGGAGATGACTTTATCATGATAAAAAGGGAATAATAGCCATGATAATGATAAGTAAGCAACAAGCAGATAAAAATGGAGAATGTACATTGGTATATTGGTAACGCAACTATTAGTAGCCTGAACTGATTAAAAAGAATCTGCGCCAAACAGTACCGAAACATAAGGTTTAGATACATCAGGTAATTTTAACTTGCAAATTTAGTTCTAACTTTACAGAAACAGATCAAGGAACAGAACGTGCATATAGAACACCTCCGAGAATATCCAACCATCCCACGAGAATAATATTTATAACTGTTACAGCACTGAGCTTCAAATAAAGGAAGGCACAGAGGTTCAATCGAAAGTCAAAAATAGGTTCGAAGACCCAACAGAGTGGTTCTTGGGTGATCCGAATCTACACGCAGAAATCGAAAAAAAAGGTCTGAGCAAAGAGATACGAGATTTTCTTCACATGCTGAAAAAGACCCGGACCTTCCCAAACAGGTAAGGAATCACCTTACAAAATTACAAAATTCCACAGGAGAAAAATAAAGGTTAGAAAAAGCATGGGTAAAACACCCAGGGAATTGCTTACAAAGATACCGCACTTGACAAATGGAAAAGAAAAGATAGTTGCGAGATGAATAATTAAAGATTACGAGGAAGAAGGTTCATTAATAACCATGAACAATCAGACAAATATTTTCGGAAACAATCATTTAACCGAAGAAATTAGAAGCCACAAGGTCAAATGCTGAAGAACTAGAAACTATTATTGACTTCCCAAATAGGAAGGTTTACGTTAGTCGCGTCTCGACATCGAATTTAAAGGTAAGTTGATTAAAATTTTACGTGCTAACGCAAATTACTTTACTTGCCCCCCATGCTAACATAACAGGTATACCACCGGAGATAATAGTTTGTATGCTCAATATTGACCCGCGGTATAATCCGGTCGAGCAAAAGAAGAAACTGGAGTTAAATAATAAAAGATAAAGTTACAAAACTTCGAAAGGTCGGTTTAGTCAGAAAAGTCGAATCATTTGGACTCGCTAACAAACATCAACCCATTATTACTTTCAAAATTCCGACGAGAAAGATGATTGTTGGTATACCAAATTGTCTCGGATGTCTCGGTAAATGCAATCTTAATTCAACAAGATAAAGGTACACATTCTCCCATCTATTATAAAATGCTCTTAGATACGGAAACTACATATCTATATTTTGAGAAGTTTGGCATTAATTGCAGCTGCCCTAAATCTAAGGCTTTATATTCAATGTCATTCAATTCCCGTAGTCACTATATTTTCATTACTCAATATTTTGCATAAACGTGAAATGTCAGGAAGGCTAGCTAAATGAGTAGTCGAACTTAGGAAATATGATATTATTTATCAACCACGTACGACTATAAAATCACAAGTTTAGCATATTTCATGATTAATCTTAGCTTGAACATATTACCCGAAGTTGAAAAGAAATTATATGTTATTTTTGGGATAAACTCGAAATTTGGACCTTCTACACAATTAGGTCCACAAGTATTAAAAGTCTCGAGTTAGAGACAATACTTAATGCCTATTAGGAAAAGTAGTTAAATAATTCATAAAAGTTATTTTATTACTAACAACAAATATGAGTATTAAGCACATGCTATAGGGCTTGAATTAGCTAGGGGACTCAGAGCAAAAATATTGGTTTAATGATTGATCAGATCCAAGAAAACTATGCAGCCCAAGAAAATCGAGTCGGATGTGCTAGTCAAAGATCAACTACTGATATCACCGACTCCAGAAGCAACTCCGGGCTCTTATTGAGAAATATCATTTTTGGGTCAAACAATCTCGGGATCGAGTCATCCCTTATTTGGGCGATCCCTGATCTATCATCAATTAGAATGAAAATGAGGTAAGTTCGAGTAATTTAATTTTGGCATAATAAATTCATTGATTACTTGTAGAATAGAACTTTACCCACAGACAAGCACGCTTTCGACAACTTTGAGTGCGTCTCATCTCGTACTGCCTTGTTGAAGGAGAGTTATATTTGAGAATATTCAAGGGTCCCAAAGCTAAAATGCCACATGGACAAGACAAACAAAATATATGATGCGAGAAATTTATAAAGAAAGCAGTAAAAATTACTCCGATAATAAGGCTTTAAATCGAAAACTCATCAAAGCTAGTATGAATAGCTCAAATCAAGATATGGCATGATCCTCGACAATATTTTGGAACCTCCGTAGTTTCCGGCCAGAGTAAATAATATTTGATAAAAAGAGCTCTGGTACCGTCCCTATGTTGGAATTGGACCATTTGAAAGTCCATCAACATCGAAACTAGCTATCCTATCAAGTACTATTATAGTCGGGACTGTCCAATTATGATTCAAGTGTTTGAGTTCTCATACCTCATAATTCGAACACTAGGGAGATTACTTATACTTGAACATTAGTCAATTTGACCTAATATTATAAGAAGTGATACAAACAATCAATTACCTTGGGAGATAGAGTTCCTAAGAGTATTCCGACATTACTTACCACAATCTCAACTCAGTTAGTTGTCTTGCTCATATCAAGAATAAACACTTCAAACAGTGTTGTATGAGTTCTTCAAAAATACATATACTACACGTACACAAAAAAGATCGAGAACTCTATGTCAGAGTCAACAATCCCACGATAAAAAACGAGAGTTTTATATCCAAATCAAGATAGATATATGAAAATATTCCACCAGAATAAAGTTCACTTTGAACAAACACGTGACTCATATTCGGTCCAACAATGACCATTCAAGTTAAATATATAAGCCTTTCTTAATGGCTAATTGTACTATTACTCAGATCAATTATTCTGTGTATATTAATAAAAATCTCAAATATTATTTCGGACATGTGTCCCTCTCTACTTGGAAGTATGTTGATATACTCCAATTTGGATTCAAAATTCAATCAGATTAAATGTCTCTTCAGGATAAATCTACTAAGATATATATTTATTTGGGATCAAAATTCCCTCAGACTCAATGTCTTACTGGGATCAATACTCCCGTAAATCTTAATGGGGCCAATACTCCTGTAAATCCTACCAGGATTAATACTCCCTCAGACTAAAAGTCTATTCAGATCAATCGATCCTGTTTTACGCCTGAATGAAAAGGAGACGTCCTCTTCATAGCGTTTAAAATATATAAAAGGGCCTTTTTTTTATTTAAAAGTTAGACACCCAAAGGTGCAAATTTAAGACATCACACTTGTAGCGATGCATCCAAATATATATTTTAAGTCTACAAGACTAAATATAAGCACTCAAATAAATTTTTAAAAAGCCAAGAAAAATTAATACTCGGATAAATTCCCTAAAGTACTAAATGATATCTATACAAACGTGATTACAGTACTTAAATTTACAGTATTTATATCTTTCTCAAATCAGAGAACTCTCTCTATCATCCGCCATGATAATGAAAATAACATCTAGCTTAGAGACAAAACTGAGTAGGTTGAGGATTGGTTCGGGATTACTCTGACTATCCTCGGAAGCTCTTTCCTCCCCTTGTAAAATATTTTATTTGGAAGACATGCAAGGACACTCTCTAGAATCAGTACCCATAGTACTCTTCTTCTAAAGTCAACAAATCAAATGGCTAATGACTAGATGTCCCGATCATAAAGTTAACCAGATGCATTAATTCATAGACTTTATCCAAACCAAAAGTACAAATTTCCTAGTTATTAACATCTCCGGTCTCTAAGACTGTGAGGTTATAAAAGTTTTGGGTACAACTAAAAATTCAAGAGTCAAAACTCAAAGATTAAAACTTCCAGATAAACGTTAAAAGTCTGAGATCAAGCTTTCTATGGTAGTGATACTTTTTCAGTACCAACCGATCATTAACGAAAGGAAAATAAGCGACGAAGTTGTCATCTGAATTCCTAAGCTCTGCACTTTTTTTCCTTCGCCTGGTTTTTATCCCTATTGGGTGTTTCTAGCAAGGTTTTTAATGAGGCAGCGGCAAAGGTGGAAAAGATAAAATCTTCCACTTCCCGGTCATATCACATTGAGTGACCGAAAAGTGGGGAGACTATCTGTATTAGTAAAAAATAGACTCGCCACGTGAGTCTATTAAATGTCGACACATGTCAGCAAAGTTATGAGAAAATATGCCACCAGAATAAAGTTCACTTTGAACAAATACGTGACTTATATTCAGTCCAACAATGACCATTCAAGT